AGTCAGACAGCTCCATCGCTTGCCTATCAAAGTTTCAGCAGACAGGTGTAAATATTTCTTCCGTTTTGACAAGGCAGTCGATGGGGAAGGAGAGGGGAAAAAAAAGAGAACATATCAAGGAACAAGGTCATCAATCTTGACGTGCTTATATAAACAAAACAAATGACTTAATTTGTTTTGGTTAAAAAAAACGGGCCTCTAACAGGAGGAGATTTGCGAACTTATATAAGAAAACATTGCAGCGCTGACACCAAATTACGTCTCAATCAATGTTAAAAGGCAACTGACATTTTCATTTTGATTTATGGATTAACCTTTACATCTAATGCAATCTTAGAATTTATTTTTTTTCCCCATCAGCAGCTGGTGGTACAGCAACCTACAGTTCATTGTGAGGACCTTCACTAATTTAATAACTTCCACCCACACCACATGCTCCATGGTGAAGCAGCTCACACCAAGGTTTAAATCGTGGATGGTCGCTCACATTTCCCCAAATAAGTGGGTCCATTTGACAGCAGAGATGGTGAAGATCCTGGTAAAGATTCTAGAGAATCACATCCGGAGATAGAATAGGATAGGATAGGATAGGATAGGATAGGATAGGATAGGATGACAGAGTTGGACTTTGGAGGTCTTCTAGTCCAACCTCCTGCTCAGGCAGGAAACCCTATACCATTTCAAACAATTTCTATCTATCTCCATCTCCATCTCCATCTCCATCTCTATCTCCATCTATCTTCTTCTCCTTCTGCTTCTGCTTCTCCTTCTTCTTCTTCCTCTTCTTCTTTCTCTCATTTATCTATCATCTCCCTCCCTCCTTTAATCTATCTGTCTCTCAACCAAGCAGGCATGGATGTATGGCATAAAAACCGCTGATCAGGTTGAGCAAAACCAGGTTCATGAAAACAAGGGACCCGAGATCTGTCCTTTAAGCATGAGATATGCATCAAAAACTCAATCTCGATTTTATTAATTTCTGTAAGAATAAAAGGAGGCCTATGGGTCAAATTAAAATTGCATTTGTTTTACTCTATATAGATGGGCATACCTGGTGAAGTGCACTTATACCTACACACACATTTAATGGTCTGGTAAAATGACTTCCCCTTGTTTATGATTAATCTCTTATAACACAAGTTTTAGCTCAGTGAGTTCCCAGTTAATTTTGTTTTATTTCATTATAATTTTTTTTAGTTTGGTTTTGTTTTCCTGATGTAGCCTAAAGCTTATAGAAAAGTAATTGCATGAAACAGGAGAGAGAGAGAGAGAGAGAGAGGGAGGGAGAGAGAGAGAGAGAGAGAGAGAGAGAGGGAGGGAGGGAGGGAGGGAGGGAGGGAGGGAGAGAGAGAGAGAGAGAGAGAGAGAGAGGTGTGTATTGGAAAACATCTAATTTATAAGCTGTGGTTATCACCACACAGCAGACATTTCATTTTGTTCAATGGAAAAATAGTGACTTAAAACAACAAAGCTATTGCCCTGTTTCCATAATTTACACAAACCCCGTTTGGTATTTGGAGGGATACAAAAATATATAAATTTGCAAATATTTGCCTTTGTTTAATTTCATCTGCAGCAAAACAAGGCTGTAGGTAATAGGCAAAGGTTTATCCCTTGTGTTCATCTTTATTTAAAAAAACCCCATTTCTTGTGTTTTCTTAATAGGTTTTGGATTTATTACTTAGAAAGAAATTAGAAATTTCTGGGAAAAAAATCTGGAAGTTACTTCTCCCCTTCTTCATTTTTATTCTGACGTCAAGGCCACTTGCGAACGTTTGCCCACGACGTTTGCACGATGGGAACTCGCGTCTTTCTTAATGGAAACCCGCTGATCCGTAAACACTTGTGAGGGAGCCCGGTGCTCAGGGGCAATGTGATATTAATGTTCGTATCAGTGATTGATCAAAAGGATTTGCAAGGAAAGCATAAAGTATTTAATTATAATTAGACCAGGAACGACGCTGTAATGGTGCCGACATTTGAATAAGGTCATGTCTTGCCCATACACCTTTCATATTAAATGCCATTCGTTTCAAGGGCCCGAATTCATTTTGGAAATCGTCAGTAGGTAAATTAAAAAAATGTCCCTGGGTTTTTCTTTTTTTTCCCTTTCTTTCTTCTTTTTATTTCTTCTGGTTTGGAAAGATGATTGATCTCCTTTGGAAAGCAAATAACAGCATCCGGTGGCCCCAGAAGGCCTTGGAGAAAAGTGGCATCAGAACATTTCCTTGCCTCTTGGATATAAATCGGGTCAAACAATAGCGATATCTCAACATAGATTAGATTAATTTATGTAGGCTGGAGATGGATGCCTCCACCGAATGTTAACCTTTTCCTTCCTTTTGCTTCGTTGCTTTCCCAACACCCCCCCCCCCAAATAAAATAAACAGGGACTGATCTTACCAAGGTAAGCGAGCCAACAAAAAAATATTATGTGCAAAAAAAAAAAAAAAGGCCAGGCTTTGGAAGGGCCAAAGAGAATTTGAGAGGGAATTTTAATCCTTGTTTTCGTTCTGATTCAGATTCTGCATTAGCGTAATAATTGTGCATCCGGTAATTATGATACGGGTAAGCTGGGAATAACCACAAGCCAATAACCAAAGCATTGTGTGTGTGTGTGTGTTTGTGTGGTGTAGAACAGCACAATGACGCCGTTGGAGAAGAGGCGTCTCCGTTTATTAAAACAAGAATTTACCTGGAAAAATTGGAGACTGTGCCCAAGAAGCTCAACTGATCCCAAAATTTCTGCTGGTAAATGAGACTTTTGTTACGTGAATTTTAACCCACTTTACGACCTTCCTTGCCACACTTGTTAAGTGAATCGCTGCAGTTATTAAGTTACTAACACGGTTGTTAAGTGAATCTGCCTTCCCCATTGACTTTGCTTGCCCGGAGATCACAAAAGGGGATCACGTGACTCTGGGACATTGCAACCATTATAAGTCCATGCCAGTTGCCAAGCCTCTGAATTTTGATCACGTGGCCAGGGGGATGCTGCGACGGTCATGTGAAAGACAATCATGTCACTTTTTTCAGTGCTGTTAACTTCAAACAGTCGCTAAACGAACTGCTGTAAATCAAGGACTACTTGTTCCATGCTTATGGCTATCCACAAAGTGGGGAGAATATTCCACCTTTCCCCTTGAAAAAGGCCTGCTATCATTTGAAAACAGATACAGTCTTGTTGCTGAATTCTGCTAAGAAGCAACATCTCCCCATTTTATAAATAGAGGAAACGCGGCTGTCCCATTTTAGTTTTTAGCGGGTGAACTGATTTCCCAAGAAGCAGAAAATTAGGGTATAACTCCTATACTGTCTTCTGATCTGGGCTGGGATGCCCTGTCAAATTCTCTTGATGCACTGAAATAAATATTAAAGTATATCATTTTAATATATAGCTTTATTGACTCATACTCCACAGGTCAATGGAATGGAATTACCAATAAATTAGAAGTGAGGAGAGCAAATTGCCTGTCCCAAACCCATTTATAAAACTGGACTCATAGTCACACTCTCCTAAACTTAATACTTACATTAGGGGGGTTTTTTTTGTGAAAAAAAAAAATCAAAGAAAGAAAAAATGAAAACACTTTTTTAACCAGGGTAAAATGCCTACAAGCCCCCCATTGCATTGAAGACATTGGTCATCCTGCAATGAGGGAAAAATTGCAAAAATGTACAAAAATGCGTTTATGAAGAAAAAGTGCACACGTACACACGAATGCTAAACATCTGGGCTGACTTACGCACACTGGGGAAAAGTACATCAACCTGTTGAAACTCAAACTTTAATTCGTTAAAAGTTTAACCCTTTGTCCCTGATTGAACTTATGGGGATTTTCCTAGTCAGATTGTTACAATGGCTGATCATCCTGGAGTTTGACGAAGAAATGCCATTAAAATTAGACTCTAGAGTCAAATTGGGGATCCAGCAATCTTGTGGGTCCCACAGGAAATGCCACACACCCAGGAATGTCCATGGGAGAGGGTCAAAAACGTCACATTGGTCTTTGTTTTGGGCCCATGTCTAAGTTAGGGTAATGTTTGAAGAAGCAGATTCTTTAGAAAACAAAGCAGACCATTCTATGCATGAAGAAACACAGGAATGAAGGAAGGAAAAGGGGATGGAAAAATGGATGGATGGATGGAATGGGGAAGGACGGAGAAGGAGATGGAAAAGAGAGATGGAAGGAAGGCAAGCATCTAGGTAGCTATACAGAAGGAAGGAAAGAAGGAAGGAATGAATTTAGCTATATGTATTTAAGGGAGGGAGGGAGGGAAGGAGGGAGGAAGGAAGGAAGGTATCTAGCTATACAGAAGAAAGAAAAGAAGGAAGGAAATAAAAGAAGGAAAGAATGGGAAGGGAGGGAAGAGGAAGGAAGGAAGTCATTTAGCTATATGTATTCAAGGAAGGAAAGAAGAAAGGAAGGGTGGAAGGAAGGAAGGCATTAGCTATACAGAAGGAAGAAAAGAAGGAAGGAAATAAAAGGAGAGAAGGGGAAGGGAGGGAAGAGGAAGGAAGGAAGGAAGGCATTTAGCTATATGTATTCAAGGAAGGAAAGGAAGGAAGGGCTGAAGTAAGGAGGTAAGGAAGACATTTAGCTATACAGAAGGAAGAAAAAAAGGAAGGAAGGAAATAAAAGGAAGGAAGGAAGGCTTATATTTATAATGTTCCAAGTCAGCATTAGGACAGCGCTCAGCCTCCTTGATCACTCCTTGGATCCCATTAGCGGCATAGGGTCTACTAATACTGTTCGATCCACCGTGAACTATTTCCTTCCGTCCCAGAATTCAAGCAGTGTCATGCAGTCGGATGCATCGGGGACCCCGTGAGATCAGAAAGTCTTAAGCAAGGCCAGCCCGAGTCCCACTGTCCCGTCCAGCAAAGCCCAACCCCGGCAGGCGGTTTCAACCCCGGGGTCCCACAAAGCTGGACATTGCCTGGCTGCTCATTCATTTTGCGAATCTTCTCTCCCAGCCCTTGTCCCAAGCCGGCTGATTCACAAGGTCCAAAACCCAATGTTTGCTTGCTGAGCATCCGAGAGGTGGTATGTATTATCTTGCACATGGTACGGGGACCGCAGGACTGGCAGCGGGTCTGGAGATGAAAGAATGTAATCAATGCTAAATTTAATTTCGGAGTCAGATTTTCCGACGGAGGAGCTGTGTGGGCTTTGTCGGCTGGCGGCAGCTCTTGGAAAAAACTCACCGGCCTCCGAGGATTTGAGTGGTTGGGATGCCAAAGTCTCACCAGGACAGGAGAATTTGGGGAAGACAGTGTCAGCTGAAGACAAGGTGGGCAAGGCCTCTCTTCCTCCAGCCATCCTTTTTTCCCTTTTCACATTCCGCCTCCTCCTCCTCCTGTAATTCCCATTTTCAAACAAATCCAACATGGATTCACATCCGGTTGCAAAGCTCCAGTAGTTTCCTTTGCCCTTATCGTGGCCTTCTGCTCGGGGAACCTGCATGCGTTCAACCAAAAAGAGCAATACTTTCAATCATGGACATTCCAAGAGAGAGAGAGAGAGAGAGAGAGAGAGAGAGAGAGAGAGAGAGAGAGAGAGAGAGAGAGAGAGAGAGAGAGAGGGAGGGAGAGAAGGATCTATCTACAACCTGTCCAGAAACATTCATGGTTTGAGATCTTCAAACATGATCTGAAGAAGATTGGGTTCTGCCAAGGGCTTCTGTGGGGAAGGGAAGCTTGGATGATGTTGACCACCCTGAGGGTGATGACCTCAGAAGGTCGAGGGCCAGCTTTATAGAAACAGGTTGTCCACCACCGCTGCCCATTTAGATCTGTGGCCCTGACCTCTTAGCACGCATGCTGTGAATGTTGCCTTCTCCACATCTGCCTTCACTTAGATGTGAGGCTCATATAAACAGCTATGACAAGTTGCTGAAATCCAGGCTCTCTAATTATAGAAATTGGAGGTAAATAACCTCTTTAGTCTGCTGCGTACTCTCTCTCTCTCTCTCTCTCTCTCTCTCTCTCTCTCTCTCTCTCTCTCTCTCTCCTTCTTTCTTTCTTTCTTTCTTTCTTTCTTTCTTTCTTTCTCTTTCTCTCTCTCTCTCTCTTTCTCTCTCTCTCATTATAGAAATTGGAGGTAAATAACCCCTTCAGTCTTCTGCATAGTCTCTCTCTCTCTCTCTCTCTCTCTCCCTCTCTCTCTCTCTCTCTCTCTCTCTCTTTCTCTCTCTCATTATAGAAATTGGAGGTAAATAACCCCTTCAGTCTTCTGCATAGTCTCTCTCTCTCTCTCTCTCCCTCCCTCCCTCCCTCCCTCCCTCCCTCTCTCTCTCTCTCTCTCTCTCTCTTTCTCAGAGAGGACCCTTGACTTCAACCCAGAGCTACAAGTATTCTCTTCTATCAGTCCAGTAATAACATCACAGAAAGTAATTTGAAAGACCTCCTCAGACAACCAAGACCAAGACTGAGCCAACTCATGCCCTCAACCGTACGTTGGAGGAACGACCCAGCTCAGAACAGGTTGAGTGCATGGATGGAGGATATGGGTTTGCAAAGGTGTGTCTTGCTGGCTTACCTTGACAAAACAGCTGTTGAGAGACAGGTTGTGACGAATGGAGTTCTGCCAGGCGCGTTGATTCGTCCGATAGTATGGGAACTTCTTCATAATGAAATCGTAGATGCCAGAAAGGGTCACCTTGTGGGAAGGACTCTGCTGAATGGCCATGGCGATTAAAGCTATGTAGCTGCCCCAAGAAAGATGAAAAAAATAAGAACATCAGCCCCACGTGGGATGCAAAGTGGAAGATACCTAGGGACACTGAAAGTGGAATAATTCAGTAGACTTTGTAGCTACAGAGGCTGCTATCTTGAATATGTTTAGTAAAGACTAAGTAAGTTTCTTTGAACATGAGGAACTGGGCAAGGATTGGACTCACGAGCTTAATTAGCTCAATGGGGTATTTTTTGAAATTTCCAAATCAGTGACAACATTGTCCCCAGTCCTGAAACAGAGGAAGAACCATGTAGAACTCCATTTGATTTACTGAATCAAACTATAGTTTACATCTTGTAGCAAACAATTATTATTTTTAAGTTTGATCTGCTGATTAAAACACATGATCATAGATGATAGATGAGATAGAGATGCTAGATAGATTCATATCGAGAAAGAGAGAGAGAGAGAGAGAGAGAGAGATGGAGATTCAGATATAGATAGATGATAGATGCACACACACATATATAGAGAGATGATAGATTTAGATAGATAGATAGATAGATGATAGATAGATAGATAGATAGATAACCTAGATAGATAAATACCTAGATAGATCCCTAGATAGATATAACAGATATTTAGTCACATCAATGATTGATTTCATACATTGTGTTAGAAAGACAGAATGTAATTAATTTGATTTCCACAATGTTATTGGATTGATAGAGACAAATATTTGTAGCTAAGGGTTGAAATGCAAGGTCTTTCGTGCTTCTCTGAGCTGGGTGGTTTTCTTGAAGACATTTCATGACCCAACTAGGAAACATCATCAGTGTAATATTATTGCATAGATTGGTTAAATTTAGAGGTCACTCAACCCCAACCTACCCTGGGTAGCTTGCAAATAAAAAAAAATCATCAAACTAAATCAAAGAAGTACCATGTCTTGTCTACCCAGAAAAATATACACTGTAAGAAATGTGCAAAGTCAACCCTTCCCCTTCTTGATGTTACTGCTCTGTTTCTAGGTAGAAATCTGACTTTTAAGTTTTATTCCTAAGACAGGTATCTTGTGCTCTCTCTCTTTCTCAGTCCACATTGCAACCGTGATTAGTCAGGCATGTTAGCCAAACGGAGGCAACAGCTCTGAAGATAATTTTTTTAAAACAAGAAGCCAATATCCTGCTTCTGTTTTCCACAAATACAAAGTGAGCACGATCACTTCTTTGTTCTGTTAGAGAATCTGTATTTTCTGCTCCACAGGGAAGGGGGAAAAAAAAAAAGACCTACAGGATTATTTTTAAACGCTCAGATGCAACTTTATCAACGGAAAGTTCCTACGAGCTGTAACTTCTGCTAGCCGCAGCCGATTGTGACTTCAGCCTGAGAAGTCCTTGTTTGGTGGCTTTTTTGCCCAGGCAAAATGCATTTGGAGGGGTCAGCTTCTGCACCCCTGACTTCAATGGGAGTTATTTTCATGGAAAGTGAAAGTGAGGTACAAACAAGTAAAAAATTCACTCCTTGGGTTTATTGGCAGAGGCACTTTTAATCAAGGTCAGGATGAAGAAATATGTTCCACGTAAATATCTGACCTGGTGGAACTTAACAATTAAGGGTACCCTTTATTTAATTATTATTTTTTTAAAAAATGTATTATTATTATTTGTTTTCTTCTTAGGGGGAGTGATGCGTTTACACAAGAGGAAGTTTAATCATAAAAGCAAGCGCTATAAAGAGTTAAAACAGGGTGCGTCCAGCTAATTTTTGTTCGGAGCAAAATTGGAAAGCATCTCTGTTACTTTCTTCTCCAAATTGAAATAAAGCACAAATTCTCCGGGTGCAAATTTAACCTATCAGAATTAATGGGAGAGGACCAATCAGCTGCAAAAGTCTAAAACTAACTGAAAAAAATGGGATTTAAGTGATATAGCTAAGACACCAATTTTCAGACTCAATACCCACAGTTCCGTCTAGATTTGGAGGTGCGTATCAGTACGAAATGGGCTTTTTTTGACCTAACAGGAGGCAAACATAACAGTCTAAGGTTTCCAATCATTTGCTCCTTCCTATCAAAGAGCTGTTTTAAAAATACTCAGGGGCTGATTATTTGTCCACCAAAAGAAAAATCTGAAATCCAATCAACTTTCTACTCTTGCTTTGTACACCTTGTTGCTAAGATCTTTATGAAGGGCAGTGGAAGAAAGAGAGAGAAGAGAAGAGGAGAGAAGAGAAGAGAAGAGAAGGATGGAAAGAAGGAAGAAAGAAAGAAAGGAAAAAAGAAAGAAAAAAGAAGGAAGGAAGGAGGGAAGAAAGGAAAAAAGAAGAAGAAAGGAAAAGAAAGGAAAGAAAGAAAGAAGAAAAAAGAAAGAAAAAGAAGGAAGGAAGGAAAAAGAAGAAAAAAGAAAGGAAAAGGAAGAAAGAAAGAAAGAAAAAGAAAGAAGAAAAGAAAGAAAAAGAAGGAAAGAAAGAAAAAGAAGGAAGGAAGGAAGGAAGGAAGGAAAGAAAGAAAGAAAGAAAGAAAGAAAGAAAGAAAGAAAGAAAGAAAGAAAGGAAAGAATTTTTCCCAGACTCCAAAATTAGGCACACACATGCACACCCAGCTTAAAAAGTTCAGCTTACCTGTAAGCAGGTCTGGTGAATCTTTTTTCTTCGTCTGAAGTGCAGGCTGGGTAATCATCTCCATCATAATTAAAGCAGTTATAAGGGTATTGTGTGTTATCAAACATGATTTTTCCTGGATTCCTTTGAGCGCCTGAGAAGGAGGGAAGAGATGGGAGAGTGGTGTTTCTTCCAGACTGCTCCAGTCCTCCCTCCCTTGCTCCCTCTCTTTCCTTCCACCCGCCCCCCTTCCCTCTCTCTTTCTCTCTCTCTCTCTCACACACACAGACACACTCTCTCTCAAACACAGGCCATTTCTACCCCCACCCTCGCACTTTCCCTAGGAGTCTCCAATCCCAGCCCAAAATACTCACCATAGCTTGCTTGGGTTCCACTCTCCCTTACGCCAGCAAGGCAGCTACCCTCCCACCCCTTCAAACAGGGCGAACCTCTCTCTTGAACCTTTCAAGATGGTTCAAAGGTTTGCAGAACGCTTTCAACTTAGCGACTTCACCCTGGTAAACCAGGCACAGGGGGAGGGAGGGGGTGGGTGGGTGGGTTTCTGCTTGGGTGGTCCCAAGTGAGCAAGGACCTTGTAGTAGTTGACGTTGCTTGTCTCCCGTGGAGAGCCAGGCCAGGTTAACAGGCTTGAAAAAAGTGGGTCTGTTCCTTCTCGTTGTCTTCTTCTCCTCCTGAGTTCATTTTTGAAGCAAAATACAACTGGTGGGCCACGAGTTTATTTGCTCTTTTGTTTTTTTTTCTCCTTCTCCTTTTTCTCTTTTGTCTAAAACCCAAAATACGGTCTAAGGTGACCGACTTTTTTTTTAACCATGAGAAGGAGGACACAAATAAATGGAAGAAAAAAAATATCGTCAATAAAACATTTTATTCACTGCAACCATACAGAATGCACTATAATATGATAAAGGCATAATCAAAACACATTTGTAACAATGACATTTTATATTGTAATTAGGCTTACATGCCTATTAATTGTTATTTAAATGAGTACAAAAGAAGGACTGTCTTCCCTAAAGGAGGACGATTGGTCACCTTAATTAAATACCTGATGGGTCACTGTCAAAACACTCTTGGGACCCTCCAGTAGACAGGGCCCGCCTTTGGTTTAAAACAAATCGGTGATGGGCAATTTAACGGAGGGAGGGGGGGAGGCTGTGTGCTTTCAAAGGAGAACCACTGTCAGAGAGGAAAGCTTTTTTAAAAAAATTAAAAAAAAAATAGCCGCAGGCAAGAGAGCTCCATGTGTGGGCTTTGATCTAGGGGATGAATTAGCTAATAACTCTTGTGTGTTGGCATCCAGTCCTGTAACAATTTTGATCTTCTTCCTCACTTTCCTTCTCCCCTTGGCCCCCCCTCCCCTTTCCTGCTTTTCCCACCCTACATGCACACATACACATAGGAAGAAACAGATGCTTTGAGGTGGTTTCCAACAAGAGAGGGCCAATAAAAGGCAGCTTATTACAACAGTTAACAGGATAGGAAAAGGAGAGAAAAGTCCCTCGGTGGTCTAGGGCTGCTGGATCAGGGGGTTAGACTAGAAGACCTCCAAGGTCCCACCCAGCTCTATTCTGACTGGAGGGTAGGGGAGAGGAGAAGTCAAAGGTCCAGGGAGTCATTTAAAGAGGATGGCTAATGGAAATTTGGAAGACGTTTGTGGGATGTGAACAAGAATGGACGTTTGGGAACTCACAACGGGTAACAATAACAACAACAACAACAACAACAACAAAAGTCTTCCGTGTTTGCTTTAAGGTTTTCTTCTCAGGGCGAAGACGACAATGATGTGCTGGATTGGAGGATAGAGTTAAATCGTTGTCTGGGTTTGCTCCACCATCCGTTGAAGTCATGAAATGAACTGGGTTCAGAGAACAGAACAAGAAGCAGCTTAAGGTAGCTGTGTGAACACAGGGCTTGCCTCTGAATTTTCATCTGACTTGTGCTTCCTGGGATGTGATGGTTGTCATGATTTGTCTTCCAAGTCAGGTGAGGGATCTTGATTACGTGGAGACTTGACATTCTATTCTATTCTATTCTATTCTATTCTATTCTATTCTATTCTATTCTATTCTGTTCTGTTCTGTTCTGTTCTGTTCTATTCTATTCTATTCTATTCTATTCTATTCTATTCTATTCTATTCTATTCCTTTCTTATTCTATTCTATTCTATTCTATTCTATTCTATTCTATTCTATTCTATTCTATTCCATTCCATTCCATTCTATTCCGTTCCTTTCTATTCCGTTCCTTTCTATTCCGTTCCTTTCTATTCCATTCCATTCCATTCTATTCTATTCTATTTTATTCCATTCCATATTCTATTCTATTCTATTCTATTCTATTCTATTCTATTCTATTCTATTCTATTCTATTCTATTCTATTCTATTCTATTCTATTCCATTCCATTCCATTCCATTCTCCATTGCATCTATTCTATTCTATTCTATTCTATTCTATTCTATTCTATTCTATTCTGTTCTATTCTATTCTATTCTATTCCTTTCTTATTCTATTCTATTCTATTCTATTCTATTCTATTCTATTCCTTTCTTATTCTATTCTATTCCATTCCATTCCATTCTCCTTATCCTTATCCTCTTCCCCTCCCCTCCCTTCCTCCTCCTCCCCCCTCCCCTCCCCTTTCCCCTCTTTATCCTCTTGAAGACCAGTTAAAAACTGCAGTTCAATAATTATTGGTGGTTTCTGGGACCCACCCAAATCTTGTAGTATTGCAGGAAATGTTGTCCCATGTGTATTTGAAATAAGTGAAAAAAAAAAGAGAGAATCTTATCATGCTATAACCAAAATCCAGAATATCTTGAATTCTATCACCAGAAGACCTTAAATCCCTTTCTGCTGTGCTGGATATTGAAGGCTACCCCCCCCCCCCAATAAAGTAATACCTTCAATCAGTATTTTTTTTCTAAATAAAAAAGGTGCCAGAACACTCACATGTCATACAACCCGCCTTCCCTACCCTACAAAGTTCCGTCCAAAAAAGGTGCCAGGTATTCTATGAGAAAAAAAGCCCCGCCTTTAATACTTCAATTGCAATTAACATATTTCAAGTGTTTTCCAGAAAAAGAACCTGAGTCATAGTTTTTCCTTTAGCGTCCTTTCGGCTGTTATAATTTTATCAGCGTCACTGTAACCCATCCCTGCTGCTATTGTAAAATTAAGATTTTTTCCTATGCTGCTTCCCTTCCCCCCCCTCCTTTTTTTTTTTCTTTTTAGAATGCATAGCTCCAGAATGCAAAGTTGTAAAAACCATTTGATCTGGGCGATTAAGTCGAGGATAAAAATGTCGCAGAAGATTTGTTTCTAATATTTTTGGTTAAAACAACACGAAGCCAAATGGAAGTAAAAGCTTCACGTGAAATTGGGATATTTTATCATGATGACAGCTTTGGAATAACTTTTCACCTGCAGCCGCATCTCTTCAAGGAATCAGGATTTTGAGTATGTGTCTATGTGTGCAGATCATTTCATAATTGTTAGAGAAAGGGAGAGGAAAGAAAGAGAGAAGAAAGAGAAGGAAGGAAGGAAGGAAGGAAGGAAGGAAGGAAGGAAGGAAGGAAGGAAGGAAGGAAGGAAGGAAGGAAGGAAGGAAGGAAAAAGAAGTAATTTTTGTGATCAGGAAACATATTTTATTTTCATTTGATTTGATAACTGAAGAATCTTAGAGGCAAGGTGAGGATGTAGTGGAGACTGATTTCAGTCCAGTTTAGATAGTTTATTCAACTCAACTGAGATCAAACTAGGTTGGGCTATTCCACTGACTCCCTCTAAAGTATGGAATTAAAACTCGAATCAATGCTTCTGAAGCGCTCAATCCCTTGGGGGGGGGGGCACCCACTGCACTTTGACTATTTAATTCAAAAGGTTGACCTAGTTCAACCCCCCTTTCTTTCTCTCTCTCTCTCTCTCTCTTCCTGTCCCTCCCTCTTTCTCTCCTTCCCTTCCTCTCTTCCTCTCCCTCCCTCCCTGTCCCTCCCTCCCTCTTTCCCTCCCTTCCTGTCCTTTCCTCCCTCCCTCCCCCCTCTCTCTCCCTTCCTCTCCCTCTCTCCCCCTCCCTCCCTCCCTCCCTCTCTTTTCCTCCCTCCCTCCCTCTTAGACCCACAAGCTCCCTGTCAATTAAATTGAAATCAGATCAACAATTACCCATCCATCAAGCTTCACAAAGCCAAAAATTTATCGTAGTGGAATGACAGATCAGTTGTGGATCACCACCTCCTCTTTCTTTCCATCTAAGGAAGTTTGTCTATGGACAATTATGGGACAATTACGCCTTCCAGTTAGCAGGAGAAGAAGAAGAGGGGGGAACCCCTCCAAGGAAATGCACACTTAATTAGGAAACGAAGCATAGCTCCTACAAAACCACAGCACCGTGTGTGTGTGTGTGTGTGTGTGTGTGTGTGTGTGTGTGTGTGTAAAAGGAAGGGAAGGAAAGTAAAAGTTGCCTTAACAAGTGTGTGTGTGGGTGTGTGTCTTGCAAATCAGCTCTTCCGATGAAAGACACGAGGCTCCCTTTCTGAACAGGTGTGTCCCCGCGACACACGTAGTCCTCAACTTACGACAACTGAGTCCCAAATTTCTGTTGCTAAGCAAAACAGCTAAGTGAATTTTGCCCCGTTTGATCACATTTCTTGCCAGAGTGAATCAGTACAGTTGTTAGGTTAGTGACACGGTCCCTTCCAACTCGGTTCTTCTGTTAATTCTGTAAAAACGCAAACATCTCACTTGGGCCTGGGTGGGAAAAAAAGAGACAGAAACTCTTCACATCTCCCATAACCTTGTTTATTCCCAAATATCGGTCACTGCAAGCCTAGCCAGGTTTCCCACAAGGGCCCCAAAGCTGGCCCTTGCTAGGAAACACAGTAGAAGCATCACCCACACCCAGGAATAAGTATCTGGAGCAGGGGTCTTCAAACCTGGCTGAGGAATTCTGGGAGTTGAAGTCCCCAAGTCATAAAAGGGCCACGTTGGAAGACCCCTGCTTGTGGACTTCAACTCCCAGAATTCCTCAGCCAGGCACACTGGCTGAGAAATTCTGGGAGTTGAAGTCCACAGGTCATAAAAGGGCTGAGTTTGAAGACCCCCAATCTAAAGAAAAGCTCATAGCACATTAACTTGCTTTCCTCTAGATGGTGCAATCTGATAAGAGTTTGCTTTACAAAAGCCTCTCCAAGCCCTTGTTTCATGCAGCAGTGCTTCCATCCCAGCCAAAGAGAAGGATTCCTTTATAACACCAACACAACTTTTGAAAACGACAAAAAAAATAAAACAACCAAGAGAATCGAGATCAAACAAAACAAGAGAATCGATGTTGCTATGGTTGCTCATAATAAAGCTCTATTCCTCTCTGTCAAAAAAATACTGGAAAATTTATTCTATCCTTGGGGGGGGTGAAAGGGTGGGAAGGTTAGCCTTACAGACAGTCACTCATGGCATGGCTTGACTACCGCAATGCGCTTTACGTGGGGCAGCCCTTGGAAGCAATCCAGAAAATTCAACCGGGTCCAGAATGCACCAATGCTTTTCTTCTTTTTTTTTTTTTCAATATAAATATATATATTTCAATTCTTCTGCTGGAGCTTCAGGCTCTTAACCGCCAGTGTTGCAAACAGAGGGAGGGAAGCTGCCCTTTCTCAACCCATCCCAGGCTAAGACTGCAGCTGGTTAGGACCTCGCTGGAAAATTTGGAGGGGCTGCAAGTTAAACAGCATTTGAAGACACATCTGGAAACATCCTCAGAGGGAGGAACTCAGCCTACGTTCCCGTCTCCTCCTCTCTCTCTTGCAACAGAAGGCAGTCTGCCACAGGCGGGCCCAAAACGTCACCATCGGAAATGGGAAGTTGCTTTTAAAAAATGTATCAGCAGAGGACTCGTGGGCCGCTTGCCCTCATTCATAACTCACCAGCGCTTATGCAGAAAGAAGATTGGATGCAGGGAGGGGCTGTTCGTTTGTTTGCATACCAGGTCAGTGCATTTTGAGCCCTTTTTTCATTCTCCATGAATATGGGATGATCTCAAGTGAATGTGCGCTCAGAAAGTATGGCTAAAGTGGGATTTCCTCCTCCTCCTATTCTTCTTCTTTTCTCCTCCTCCTCCTCTTCCTCTTCTTCTCCCTCCCCTCCCTCCCTCCCTCCCTCCCTCCCTCCCTCCCTCCCTCCCTTCCTTCCTTCCTTAATGAATTTGCCCAATTACCTTCTTTGTGAATATCCATAGCTGTCCTCTGCAGACAACATCATTTGTATAGGGTTTCCTGCCTGAGCAGGGGGTTGGACTAGATGACCTCCAAGTCCCTTCCAAAATCATCATCATCATCATCATCATCTTTTATTCATTAGACATGAACCTCAGTCAACTGAACATTGAAATTGGTTGGCGCTGATGGTTGACACGGATTGCTACCAGCATCCTAAGGGTCAACCAGGTATCTCCTTAAAATAATAATAATAATAATAATAATAATAATAATAATAATAACAACTACTACTACTACTACTACTACTACTACTACTACTACTACTACTACAGCATTTCTGAAGCTTGGCAACTTTAACATGTGTAGACTTCAACTCCCAGAATTCCCCAGTCCACCCATCTTAAAAGTTCCCTGACATGCTGGCTGGGGAATTCTGGGAGTTGAAGTCCACACCCCTTGACGGTGGAGCGGTCTAGCAGAAGACAGGGCAGAGAAATGGGCGAGCAGAAAGAGCGAAACGACAGGGATGAAATCGTTTCATTCTTAAACCATTACCGCATACATTTTCAGCAATATCGCCTCACGTCGGAAACAAGATCCCATTTATTGCAAAAAATACTAACGCGGGTGTTAATGAGTTTAACACAAACCCTGGAGGTTTGCATTGCAATTAGCACTGGATTGTGGTTTCTTTTTCTTTTTGCCTACATCGGATGGTTCCCGTCATAACATCCTTTGCAAATCTGGAAAGTCTTGTCTACTTATGTCAAAGTGAGAGAACACCCAATACTTAATGAGGAAAAGTCCCATCCTAAAAAACCCCAAAAACAAAATTGCTGCTTTTAAGACTCATTCCCCCTTCTTGTCTCTCTTCTTGACTTTAGAAAGAGGGCAGAGAAGAGCAACAAAGGTGATTAGGGGACTGGAGGCTAAAACATATAAGGAACGGTTGCTGGAATTGGGTAGAAAAAAGGACGAGGGGGGACATGATAGCAGTCTTTCAATATCTCAGGGGCTGCCCCAAAGAAGAGGGAGTCAAGCTGTTCTCCAAAGCCCCTGAAGGCAAGACAAGAAGCAATGGATGGAAACTAATCAAGGAGAGAAGCAACCTAGAACTAAGGGGAAACTTCCTGACAGTTAGAACAGTTAACCAGTGGAACAACCTGCCTCCAGAAGCGGTGAATGCTCCAACACTGGAAGCTTTTTAGGGAGAAACTGGACAGCCATTTGTTTGAAATGTTATAGGGTTTCCTGCCTGAGCAGGGGGTTGGACTAGAAGACCTCCAAGGTCCCTTCCAACAACAACTATTTCTCAAGGTTTAATCATCTTTGTTGCTCTTCTCTGTACTCTTTCTAGAGTCTCAGCATCTTTTTTACATCGTGGTGACCAAAACTGGATGCAGTAAGTGTGGCCTTACCAAGGCATTGTAAAGTGGTATTAGCACTTCACGTGATCTTGATTCTATCCCTCTGTTAATGCAGCCTAGCACATAATTATTGTTGTTGTTGCTTTTGTTGTTATGATGATGATCCAAAGTACTGCAGAAAAATCGCCCTTACTGGCTTTTCAAGATCCCTAGTCGTCCTTCAATCACTTCCACCCCTTCTGGTTTTAATACTTGCATTGACAAACTTGGCAGGCAGGCAGGCAGGAGAGAGAGGGGATTCCCAGGAAGAGAAATACGGCATTGATTCAGACGCCATACAGATTTGCTCAGCAGATTTCCCCCTCCCATCTGTTCCCTGCACGTATCTGACCGAAACCATCACTCACCACTCTTAATTAGAAGGGATCCTGCAGTTGGAAACCCATTCAGATCAGTGGCTGCTGCACCCACCAGACTGGGCTGCGGTTCTCTTTTCATTTTTAAATACAGGCAGTCAGCTCATTTTGTGACTGTTCAAAGATACAACGGCACTGAAAAAAGGGACTTACTGTATTTCCCCCCATAATAATAATAATAATAATAATAGTAATAATAATAATAATAATAATAATAATAATAATAATAATAATAATAATAGTTGGAAGGAATCTTGGAGGTCATCTAGTCCAACCCCCTGCTCAGGCAGGAAACCCTATACCATGATTAAGTTACTTTCTTCAGTGATGTTGTAACTTTGGTCACTGAAGGAGCTGTTGTAAGCCGAGGACTGCCTGTATGTGGTCATTAAGCGAAACTTGACTTTCCCCCGTTGATTGTGTTTGTGGAAGCGGGCCGCGAAGCTCACAAATGGTGACCACGGGGCGCTGCAATTGGTTGTAAGTGCGAAATGCTGCCCCTTTTTCCAGCACCATCATTAATTCTGGACCATTGGCTACACAGTCGTAAGGATGCCTGTAAGCCAACAGTATGATTTGGGTGCAAAGCCATTTTCTAGATGCATAAACAATAAGGTGAGAAATTAAGTTGTGCACTTTAGCCCCGGGAAAGAATACGAGGGTGTTAAGAACGAACAATTCTCACATGAAGCTGGAAAAAAGAGAGACCGGTGGGGGGGAGGAACCAAAAACACAAGGGGCAGATCTGACTAGACAAAACGAGAAAGATTTCTATACTTTTGAGAGGCACCATGGAAAGGGCTGTCTGTACCAGCAGGAGGCATCTGGGGGAATTAACGTGACTTAAGATCCTCCTTTTGAGGCAGGTTCAGGCAGGTGGAAGGTGGAATGAGCTCAAATTCATGCTTCAAAACAAAAGAAAAAAGAGAGAAAAACAGGTCAGGGCCTTGAGCTGGCGCAGGTTTTTCTATCCGGACGGTTGGAATCAGAATCACGAAGGCCAGGTATTTGCCATATCTTTATTGCACTGGGACCACACTGCAAACAAATCCATGGAAAGGAGGAAAGAAAGAAAGAAAGAAAGAAAGAAAGAAAGAAAGAAAGAAAGAAAGAAAGAAAGAAAGAGGGAGGGAGGGAGGGAGGAGAAGGGGATGGAAAAAAAGAAGGAAGGAAAGAGAAGGGGATGGAAAAAAGAGAAGGAAGGAAGGAAGTGAGAGAGGGAGGAAGAAAAGGAAGGAAGCCATAAAAGTCTACAGCCGCTGAAAGCAGCTTCTTGGTTTTTTTTCCCCTTTAATCTGTGTTTTTTTTAAACTTGGATATGTATATATTTACATAAAAGAAAACTATCAAAATCAGACATGACAACAGCAGCAGCTCAGCTTCAACAGTCCAGAAAGAGAAGGATGAGCTGCTGCTACTTTCGGATGGATAAATAGTACAATTTATCTGTGGTTGCTTTTTTTGAAACTCTTGTCACTCTGTCAAACCGCATTCAAGTATTCTCGGCCGATGCACGAATCGTCCCGCTCCTACTGCCCTTCCCCGGAGGGTGATCCTTTCTGGGGTGGGGTTTTGGCTTGGCCATAGAGCTGGATCAGTCTTAGAAAGGCTGGGGGGGGGGGAAGTGGGAGACTGATGGCAGCGGGGGGGGGGGGAGCAAGAGAAAAGGAGGAAGAGGAGTTGACCCACGTGAAGGCCTTCTCCATTCCTGATCCTTCCTCTCCTCCCTTTGTTAGGGAGAATATTGACAGTTCATCCTTTCCCGTAAAGTGTGCACGGTTTCAAAACCCCCAATTCATTCACCTCTTTGGCGACGTCCACCCCCCCCCCCACAAACCCAAGACTCAGATCTAGGATAGCTTCAGCAGCCACCACCGCTGAGACTTCTCTGGAATTCTCTTGAAGAACATTTCTTGTGGGTGGTAGACATCCGTCACCCCCTTCCTCTCATCCAAAGGTCGCATTTCCCATTCTCCACTATAAATACAAAATATTAAATAAAGATGGATTTCCTGTACAAAGGAAAAGAAGGGAAGGAATGGGTTGCTCCAGCCGGTGAGGAGTTCTGGTTAACAATATATATATATATATATATGTATTTTCCTAATTTGATAGGATTTGTTGGGAAAACGGAGATGAGGACAAGTGGATGCCTTTTCCTCCAAATGCAGTCAGCTCCAGAATGTATGGATGACTTTTTAAACATTTCCTGCAAGGTTTTCTCAACTGGGTTGACGAGGTCCGATTGTGGGACTCGTGGGCTGAAGGAGCAGAAAGGAGAAAGGGGGACTATGAGACCACAGGAGGCCGCAGGAGAAATGAAAGCACGGGGGTGGGGAGGAGGAGGTGGGGCTTGCCAGAAGCTCCGCCCACATGTGGGCTCCAAAGCCCTCATTGACAATGGAGAACCATTTAGAAGCTAAGGCAAGCGAGGCCAGATGAAAAAGAGGGCAGGTGCCTGACCACGTCCACTGAGAACACGTGGATTGTCCCGAGAGCTTTTGGTGGGCGAGCTACCTATCATTCCACAAGAGATTCTAACCCGTTGCGGAGTCTACCCCTTCGCTACTTGGAGAACAATTAGAAGAGCAATTTCTGAATTCACTGAATTCAAACGTGGCCTACACAGTCCTTCAGGAGACTGTTGGGAGGGTGGCTTGGTCGACGTGTCGGTCTTCTTCCGCGGAGTTGAAGGAAGTCTGTCCGTTTCACTACCTCTCGGTCGTGACGGTGCTCCTAGGGGAGGCAAAGTCATTGTCCACCACCTTGTTGTAGCCCTCTTTTTCTATACAGTCCCTGACGGCCTGGAGGACTATCCGGAGCCTCCGATCCATCGCTTCGAGGTGCAGTTTGTACAAGATGGGGGCGATTTTATCCTCCAGCAAGGATTCTTCCATCAGCTGGCTCAGCTTGTACTCCTCTTTGGCCAGGAGCTGTAAACGCAGGTAGGTGGACTTCCGTATTCTAGGAGGAAGAAAGCCGTTGGAAGGTGAGATGTGGAGCACATTTGGACTATGGTTAAAAAAAAAAAATCCCATGTTTAGCAGAACTAGTTTCTGGAGGGACTCATTTTGGTTTCCAACTACATGGGCTACCCTAGTTCAACACTGGACAGCTAGTTCTACCCATACAGAACATTCTGCCTGTCTGACTTCCACCTCTCTATTATCTATCTGAATAGCGTTCTCTCTCTCTCTCTCTCTCTCTCTCTCTCTCTCTCTCTCTCTCTCACACACACACACACACACACACACTTGCTTTCAAGGTAGATAATATGAAGATTATACTGTTTATAAATGCTATAATAGCAAAAACACCGCTTAGGCAGCGTACATCTCTCTCTCTCTCTCTCTCTCTCTCTCTCTCTCTCTCTCTCTCTCTCTCCCTCCCTCCCTCTCTCTCTCATCTACCTACCTACCTAGCTATCTGAATCAATCTGTCTGTCTGTCTGATCTATCTGAATCTTTCTATCATCTCTCTCTCTCTCTCTCTCTCTCTCTCTCTAATCTATCATCTCTCTCTCCCCCTCTATCATCTCTCTTTCTGTCTATCCCTCTATCTGAAATTGTTATCTCTCTCTCTCTCTCTCTTCCCTCCTTCCCTCCCTCCCCCCCTTTCCTATCTATCATCAATCAATCACCGATCACAGGGGTGTTTAGACAGCCTGAATTTTGACTGGCTATAACCACCATTCCTTCCATGCCCTTGTAACAGTCAAATGCTTGTGGAATGGTCATTAAGTCAAGGACTCTGTGTTTACAGCCCCCCAAATTCTCCCCAAATTATCCCCATAAAGAGAAGAAGAAGAATACCGGCAACATTGATTTAAAGGCACCAAGATAGACAGTTCATCATGAGAATATTTCCCAAACCTGCAAGAGAGAAGAACACAAAGACGATTCACTAGAAATATACTTTCTGACTCAAAATTCTTGGCCAAAACTCAGGGCAGAGACTGAATGCTCTCTTTCATGCAATGATTTTAGCCACGGATTGAACTTCAGGTCTGAAGCCAAAGAGGTATTTTGCAGGAAACGTGGGGCATGCATCATGCCTCAACAGAAGCCTTTAAAGAAAATATCATGTTTTCTTTACGGCCTTCACAAGTCTGTAAAGCAACGGAAGGTTGAGCTGAGATCATAAGCACAGTCATGGTCTCACTTAGTAATTGCTTCACTTAGCCACCAGCCCTAGCTGTGGTCGCTAAATGAGGACAACCTGTATAGGTTGCCCATCTCTGAACTAGAAAAAAAACCCCAATGCTCAGGTAAAGTGACATATGGACAGGTTTACGCTTTTTTCAGGAGAAAGAAAAGTGGTGAAGAATAAACAAGGAAGATTTAAGGATGATCCACCAACCCCTTACCCTCTTCCATTGTCTAAGTGGATAATAAAAGTATTATTTCCAAACTTCTCAAAGGTCTCGTAATGGTGTCGATCCATATTACCTGCAAAGAGCAGGAGAAATAAGAAACAAGAAAAAAAATGTTTAGCAGAACATCATGTTGGAGATCTTATAAATCCTTCCATTCCCCCATCATCCGGTCAGAGATGAAGAAGCTTCTTGGATGAGAAGTGAAACGTCTTCAAAGGAAAAACAAGAAAGTCCAGTTGCCTCGTGAAAAAGCATCTTTGGAGATCTGAAGCAAATTATAATATATGATCATAGAACATAGATGAATAGGGCTGGAAGGAAACTTGAAGGTCTTCTAATTCAACCTCCTGCTCAAGCAGAAGACCCTATACCAGGGGTAGGCAACCTTGGCTCTTTTATGACTGGTGGACTTCAACTCCCAGAATTCCTGAGCCAGCCATGCTGAGGGGAAAGGGAGAGGTTTCCAAGCTGAACCATGCTGGCCCAGGAATTCTGGGAGTTGAAGTCCACGAGTCATAAAAGGGCCAAGTTTGAAGACCCCTGCTCTATACCATTTCAGACAAATCTTCATCCTAGGATAGGGGTAGGCAACCTTGGCTCTTTATGACTGGTGGACTTCAACTCCCAGAATTCCTCAACCAGCCTGGCTCAGCTTGGAAACCTCTCCCTTTCCCCTCAGCATGGCTGGCTCAGGAATTCTGGGAGTTGAACTCCATGAGTCATAAAAGAGCCAAGGTTGCCTACCCCTGTTGTATACCATTCTGGAAAAATGGCTGTCCAATATCTTTCAAGAAGAAACAGGATTGCCTTATAACCCTTAATCTCATTATCAAAATCAACCTAGATCTAAGAAGAAATTTCCTGACAGAACACTTAACCAGTGGAACAACCTGCCTCCAGAAGTTGTGAATGCTCCAACACTGGAGGTTTTTAAGCAGAGATTGGACAACCATATGTCTAAAATGGTATAGGTCTCCTATATAGAGCAGGGGATTGAAGTAGAAAACCTTCATGGCCTCTTCCAACTCTGTTATTCTGCTATTTGTATCACCTAACAAAGTCATTAATGGTGCGTCACTGCAAAATAAGCCAAAAAAACTAGCAGCAAAAAAAAACAAAAAAACCCCAAACAATTATACAAGTTCTACCACTAAAACTGCCCAAATTCTAAGAGTACGACTCCATTTCAGGAAGCGACACACATACCCATCAGAAAATCAAATATGGTCATGTCCATTATATCCAAGATCCTGGTACCCCGGTCGTAAGGTGGCGTTTGCTTAACCTCTTCGCAATAATCTGGATCAACTTCCCACCTGGATGAGAAGGAAAAATACAGATTAGGAAGTTTAGCCACCAACCGTGCTCTCCGTTTTGAGGTCTGCAAGGATTGCGTGGCTGGTTTTGAGTTTAACAGAGGAAATAAGCACACCAATATTTAAAGATATGATCCACCACTCACTTATGATCTTCTAGAAGGAGCAGAAGCTTGCTGAGCTCCCGGGGGGGAAATATATTTTTTTAAAAAGCCTCGGTATTAATAAAAGTAGCTTGAAAGGGCTCAGAACAGACTCCATATTCCTATCCCACTTTCTGGACTGGACTAACAGATACCTAAAGAGGTGAAGGGAGCTTCCTTCCCTGCCACCATTGTTAATTCTTAAGTCAATTTTAGTGTTAATATTTGCTGTTTGAATGCTTTCATGTTTTATCCATGGTGGCGCAGTGGATAGGATGCAGTACTGCAGGCTACTTCTGCTGCCTGCTGCCTGCCTGCAGTTCGATCCTGTCCAGCTCAAGGTTGACTCAGCCTTCCATCCTTCCAAGGTCGATAAAATAAGGACCCAGATTGTTGAGGGCAATTTGCTGACTCTGTAAACCACTTAGAGAGGGCTGTAAAAGCACTGTGAAGCAGTATATAAGTCTAAATACTACTGCTATTGCTATCCTGCTGTTTTATTGGCTGTTAGCTGCCTGGAATCATCCCTAGGCAAAATAGGTGGCATACAAATGTAATTAATAAATACATTCATTTATGACCTATGGTTGTTAGCTGCCAAGGGTCACCTTAAACCACAGATAGTCAGCAAATAAATTTGATAATATTAATTGAATGAATGAATGAATTAATTAAACAAGGAACGAATGAACGCCAGGGGGAAAAATGCAGGGAAAAATATTATTTCTCCCAGAGCTGCAAAATAAGTGCAAAATTAAGTTGGATTCTAATTTAATGGGTGCTAAAGTTTTAGTCCAGCTGTGTGGAAACCCCGAGGTTATGGTGTTTTGGTTTTAGATTTTAGAACAAACTCAACAGCCAAATCGTCTGGGTTAAATAAAGGCGTGGGCCATTCAAATGCCTCCACCCAGTCTCTGCTCTTTGTCTTCCCACGGTGTCTCTGCCGCGTTGGGCAGACCTATGACTTTGTTCTGCTCAGCGGTGGTGGAATTAATGTCTAGCTGGGCAACAATGGAGAACTGACGGCCTGCTGCATGGGGGGTGGCAGCAGAAGCCACAGGCTGCCTCTTAACCACAACACTTACTCGGCTTTCTTGCGTTTATGGTAGGAACGTCGCCATGGGTTCCTCCAGGTTTTCCGTTTGGCTAAAGACAAGTCGGGCAAGAAGGCAGCCATGGAGCCTTCGATCTGGTCCGGTTTGCCACAAAGGGCGTGTTCTGTCGAACAGTAGTAGGAGCACTCTCCATAGAAGCAGATGTTGTTGGCTGCAGAAAGGAGGAGAAACATGATGGACAAGCAACCTTGATGGAAGAGAAGATCTGTTGCTTAAAGTTGAACTGTGGGGTCCTGGGTGTTCTCTGAGTTTGGTTGGTTTTTATGGATTTGGGGTTTGGGATGAGGAGGAGGAAGAGGGAGGAGGAGGAGGAGGAGGAGGAGGAGGAGGATTGTGAGGTCCAACCTCTCTGAGGTTGGATGTTTTCTTGTGGATGTTTCAAGACCCAACTAGTAACATCATCAGTGCTAGAAGAGAGTTGTGTTTGTGGAGTAAAGGAAGAGGAGGAGAATTGTTCACTTCTTGATTATGGGTCTAGTGTGGTGTTAATCTCTGCTTAGTTGGGTGTTGATTGCTGCCGAAGAGGCATTTTTTTTTCTTTTTCTTTCCTTCTGGCCTTTTTTATTGTCTCTTTTGAATGGTATGTAAATGTTGTTCATTGCTATGTGCCTGTTGATGGCTGATATATCTGACTGCCAGACTTCCAGGAATTCTCTCAAGTTTTTGGACCTGGCTTGGTTTATCAGGGGAGCCATCCCCACTCCCTTCCACACTGATGATGCAACCTAGTCTGGTAATGAAACGTTTGCAAGAAATATTAGAAAGCACCCAGGAATCCACAACCAACACCATCTAGAATCAGAAATTAGGGAGACGCTGAAGAGGAAACTCAACTCCTTCAAAAGAAGTAAGTTGGAGACGAGTAGAAAAAGGAGACGCTCTAAAACAGTTGCAGCAACCTCCCTGAATCTATATAAAAATAAGAGCTTGTGATCTGATGATTAAAAACATGAAAACCATCTTCCAATCTTTGAAGTCATTTTTTCAGTGCTGGAAGGGATGATCCCATGACTTGCTGAGGACCAGCCGACACACCTAAGTGGATTTGTTTGATTTCACTTCTTTTTTTGTTGCCAAAATCACCTTCTTTGACAACTGATGACTCAGACAAACAAGTGTGAACTGACTCGGCTTTCAAGCTGGCACCAGAGGGTGTGAAAACGTTGCCAGCAGTCAGGAATCTGTGAATGAGGGCGACTTGTGAACCAGCTGTCATACGTTCAGCTCCCGCGCGCTGACATTTCTGAACCCCCAAAGGTGGATTACATTTACTGTAATTGCTGATACAGGTAGGTCCTCGGCTTACGGCCGCAACAGAGCCCAAAATTTTCGTTGCTAAGCGAGACATTTGTTAAGCGTGTTTTGCCCCATCTTACGACCTTCCTTGCCACAGAATCGCTGCTGTTTGATCATAGTAACTCGGTTGTTAAGTGAATCAACAACGCCACTGAGTTTGCTGATCAGAAGGTCGCAAAAGCGGGTCGCACGACCTTGGGACATAGCGGCAGTCATAAGTATGAATCAGTTGCCCATTTTGATTTACATGATCATGGGGATGCCGCAAAACGTCCCTTTTTTCAGTCCTATTGTAAAAAGTCCCTTTTTTCAGTCCTATTGTAACTTTGAACGGTCAGTAAATGAACTGGTGTAAGTCGAGGACCACCTGTGTAGTATAGGTGTTATTGGAAGTGGGAAATTTAGAAAGCTAGAGTTAGGTTTAAAAAATGGGGCCCTTTGATTTACTAGAGAGATCCTAAAGGTTACTCTACTAGTAAGGTGTGATGTACTAGGATGAGAAATAGAAAGTGTTTATGAAATAAAATCAGAATATATTTAAGTACATATTATGTATATTCTACACATTATAGCTCTTGTGTAGTGAAATAAAGGACATTTGGGTTACCAAAATGTGAATATCATGGATGTTAAAGGGGTAAATTGGAATACTGTAATTAAAAACTAAGAATTAGGTAAAATTTAAAAACAGGACAGGGATATGTATAAGTAAAAAATAGACTGATAAATGCTTTAACTGAGCTTGTTATGGTTAGAAATTTACTAGTTGAAGTATGTTATATTAAATATTATGGGAAATAGAGAAGGAATTTTTGATAACGTAACCTGAGATATGTACTAAAATTTTTGTTACTGAATTATCAATTACCCAGTCACCACGATGCTTTCTAAATACTTGGATGTTAAATTGGAAAACTAATAAAACTTGTTATATAAGAAGTGGGAAATTTATCCCCTTCCACTCTGACAGTTTCTGAGAATTTGAATTCCCATAATGGCCGGTGAGTCTCTCCTTTATGTCTGTGTTACAGTTAAGCCTCATCTTCTTCTAAAAACATGCTCAGGGCTTAAATGTAAGTAGTCCTCAGCTCAGCAACGATTCATTTAGTGACCATTCCCAAGTTGAAAGTTCACTGGAAAAAAAAGTGATTTACAATCTTGTCCTTGCAATCATCGTGGTCAAGAGATCAAAATTCGGACACAATCGCAATGTATTTACCGACAATCACACTGCCCACGTGATCCCCTTTTGTGACCTTCCCAGACAGCTTCTGACAATCAAAGTCAATAGGGGGAGATGGATTCACTTAACGCCTGTGTGATTTGCTTAATAACTGTGCCAGAAAAGTCATAAAATTGAACATATCTCCCTTCCCAATTGCCTTGCTTAGCAACGTAAGTTTTAGCCCCGACTGTGATCCTAAGTGGTGGCCTGCCTGTTTGTCTGACGTGAGTTCACACAACATGGTATGTAACATTTGAAACAACCGTCTCTGAATAATTCCCAATTAGCCGCGGTTCTTTCTTTCTAGCGTCAGAACCCAGGGAGTGTAAATAATGTTGAGCATTTTCTAAAAAAAAAAAAAAAAAAGTGAAAAGATTCTAATCTGCTTTTCTCTTTCAAGTGATTGGAACAGAGCTGCTATTGTCGATTCCCCAGAGGGTGGACGGGGTGATGGTGGTGGCGAACGACAGGGGTGGAAATCCATAAACCTCTGTGATTGGTCAAGGGGAACAAAAGTCCCAGAACGCACACTGATTTCGGCAAATGATTACTTTGAAAATTACAGCCGGAGTTATTAAAGTTTCTCTCCCACCTGAGTGCTAAGAAATCATTTCTTCCAGCCATTCTTTTAAGGCAAGTGGACCACCAGCAAAATACAGAAAGGCATTTTAAAAATGACTTGAGTTTTTTCCATTTATTGCATTTTGTGGCTAATGTTTTCCTTCCTTCCTTCCTTCCTTCCTTCCTTCCTTCCTTCCTTCCTTCCTTCCTTCCTTCCTTCCTTCCTTCCTTCCTTCCTTCTTCCCTCCCTCCATCACCTCCCTTCCTCCCCTTTTCTTCTCCATCATCTCCCTCTCTTCTCTCCCTTTTCTCACCCCTTCCTCTCCATCATCTCCCTCTCTTCCTGTCTTCCTTCCCTCTCCTCTCCTCCCTCCCTCCCTCCCTCCCTCCCTCCCTCCCTCCCTCCCTTTTCTTTTCCCATTTAAGAAATTTACCAGTGGACTTTTTCTTGTTTTGACAAGGAATAAGAGTTAATGTAGTGTCTTCTCCTAATGCCTGTCTTTCTCGCAAGAACTTTTCAGCTAAGTCGCCAGAATATAGCACCAAGAGATTTTTGCCCAGCAGCACCAATCAAGCTGCAACCTTGCTGCTAAAACAGAGAGCTATACTGCACTCCAAGGTCTACCTGGAATGGTTTCTAAGCATCACCAAAGCAACTGTGGACTTTAAAAGGCGTGAAAGCCACATTGTTGAACAATTTCCCCATCCTCTCCGGAAGGTGATCTAATTCAGACTTTGCCCAGGAGAGGCAGCTCATTAAGCCTTTCGCCTAGCTGTAAATTGGGATTTTCTTTCAAATGTTTACATGATCATCTTCCCGATGTAATTTCTGTAGTTGCTGCTGTTGCCGTTATTAAAGGAAGTCAATGGGGTCTCCTTGCCAAATGCCCAGACTGATTAACATAATGAGGAGAGTTCGGAAGCCTGCTTTAGCGGTAGCAGCAATTAAGATGGAGGCAGGAAACAATAACAAAGCACAAGTGAAGAAGCAGGAAAGGCAGGATCCAGCGGGAAGCCAGCATTTCCTACTGGATCCTGCTCACTGGATCCTTGGGTTCCCCCCTGGATGGAAATTGCTCGTCAGTGGGGCCCCTGCAAAGCTTTGAATTCCCCGGCAATTTTGCTGAAGGAGTCTGAGATGCTGAACCACAAGGCTGACAAATTGGCCGCAAACTTTTTCGATTGAATTTGAATGTTGACATATTGCGATAGTTCATGAGCCTCATTTTAACTGCTGCCTGTCACTTGGAACCTGTTTTTGGTGCACAGGTGGTTAACTAAGTCTTCCCATACCTGGCGAGATAAAAAATGTCCTCCAGAGTTTCTTGTCGCGAGTAACGTCCCTTATTTCTCTGGTCATATTAACCAGTCTGCCTGCAACTGGTGGGACGCGACGGAAATCTAGGATCCTGGAAGGAAAAAATAGGAGGAGACGGCTTTAATCTGCTGAATTCCACACAACAAAATCTTCTGCAGGATGGGCTGTAACTATCGTAACAGGTGACTCAGTTAGACCTCATAATGATGTGCAAAAGAAAAATGCAAAAAAGAGGAGGGGTTGAAGTGTTCAAGATTAAAACCTGGCTTGTTCCTTTTGCTGGTTGGACTTACTGAGATTTGAACCAACGTGGCCTTAAAGAACCCCCTGGTGGGACCCCATCCAAGGATGGACCAGTTCAGTCCCTGAGACTCTGAGAGCAGCTCCACTCTTTAGTGCTAATGATGGGCAATTTCCAGGGGACGGTTCCCCGAGGGTAGATTTTCCCAGTGCTAGTATCCATTTTGTGGAATTGTCCACCTTTCAAGGTATATCAGATGTCATCATCATTTCTACTTCACTGTGGACCTCCATGTGATGTTTTCTGATATGGGGGGGAGGAGGAGGAAAGGGAGGAGGAGAAGGAGAAGATGAAGAGGGAGGCGGAGGAGGAGGAAAAGGAGGAGAAAAAAGGAGGGGAGGAGAGGGGGAGAGAAGGAGGAGGAGGAGAAGAATAGGAGGAGGAGGAAAGAACAAGGAGGAGTAGAAGAAGAGGAAGAGGAAGAGGGGAAGGAAGAAGAAGAAGAAAAAGAGAAAGAAAGAAAGAAGAAAGAAAGAAAGAAAGAAAGAAAGAAAGAAAGAAAGAAAGAAATGGAATGACCTCCCATAGAACACCCTGTTGCAAAAGACCGAAAAATTGACTCAACTGTTCCCAGTTAGGACGTGCAAACACTGCATTCAGCTCACTTCCTCCCCATTTTTTCCTCCCCTCGCCCCCTCCCATCGTTTGTTTACCTGTCCAGGTGAAATGCTGCAATCTCAGCATTGTGTCTCTCATAGTCGGAAAAATAAAAAAAGTCAGGAGGGGTTTCCTGCTCTCTCGTTTGCCTAGAAAGGAAAGGACAGAGAAAAACAAACGCTCGCTTTACATAAAATGGCAAAGAGGGAATCACTGGTTTTTAACCATCCATAAAAAAAAGGTGCAACTTTGTAGAGATTTTTTTTTTTAAAAAAAACTGTACAAAACATAGTTTTGCTGCATTAATTTTGGGGGTCCTTTTACCCCCATATTATCACCTCCAGGTTGGGGTGCAGAAACTAGATGGTTACCCAGCTGCCCCGAAACCAGAAACTCGGTTAGACAAGACACAGAGAAGAAGGAAAAAGGTTTAATTTGTGTTTCCGTACGTGCCGGCTTAATTCATCCTTTCCCATCAAATATGCAACCCCTTCCGTTCTCCTACCCGTTGAATTTCACTCTGCCTTTCTGAACAATTAGCAACTCCTAGGACTGCTTGGTGTATTAAATTTCTCCGCTAGGAAAACGGCACACAACAAAGCACACATTCAGGAAAATTGCTTACAGGATTGGGGAAATTGTGAGAAAGCATGTGACTTTTGCGGGCGCAGGCTTTTTAATAAAGCCGTGCACGTTGGCGTGGAAGCAGGAGAGGGCTAGGGTGTGTTTGGAAAACAAACCAACCAAGAAAAAAAAGAGAGAGCAAAGCAAAATAATTTAAAGTCACAAGACGGAAGGCGTGTTCTTCCTGGCTGCAGCCTTGAGGATAACCAAAGTAAGTAGGATTAGGACAAACACCAACGTCACTGGATTTTGCTGAGTCTGGACCGTGACTTAAAATCAGCTTCAATTCCACCATCACAAAATTTGTTGTGTCGTCTTTTGTTTTTTTTAAAAGAGGCCGTTGTGCTCACCGGATAGAACTAGCTTTATGTAAAGAAGGAGGTTATGCCCTCTAGCTTTAGGTAAACTAGCTTTACAACTAGCTTTATATAAAGAGGGAGGTTGTACATACAATGATTTTCTGACTTACAATGAGATAGAAGCCAGATTTGATGGAAAACTTCAAAGTTTGCAACCCATGTGAGTGGCGCTGGCAACAGTAAATGTTAGCGTAACTGTTAGAAGGGAATAATTGTAGCTTGGGGATAAATTGTGCAGTCCTTGGTGGTCTCTGAGCTTGGTGGTTTTCTTGCAGACATCTCATGACCCAACTAGGTAACATCATCTGAGCTAAAGGGAATGGGGTTTATAGAGATGAGGAGGGGAAGTAATGGTGATATGAGAGAGGGAGAAGAAAAAGAGGGAGGAGGAGGAGGAGGAGGAAAAAAGAAGAGAAGAACTGTGGAATCCTTGGTGCTCTTTGAGTTTGGTTGTTTCCTTGCAGATGTTTCATAACCCAACTAGATAACATAATCAGCGCTAGAAGGGGGTGAGGTTTGCAGGGACGATGAGGAAGAAAAGGAGAGGACCGTGGGGTCCTTACTACTCTGGTTGCAGATGTTTCATGATCCAACTAGGTAATGCACTGAGTAACTCAGTGCAGTGCACTGATGATGGTACTTAGTTGGGCCATAACTTGTCTTCTGTAGGGGAGCACCAAGGAAAGCCCTTCCCCCCAGTTAGAGTAACCGTTGAGTCACAGACTTGTCGGGTTTCTGGAGAGTTTTATGAACATCTATGAGCAAGTCTCTCTACTATGGGTGAAAAAAGCAGCCTCCTCACTGGTTCACAGACAGTGGGTGCAAAGGAGTAGAAGGAAGTCTCCCCTCAGATATAACTAAGTTGGAATTAGCTCAGAGGCTCACCTTTCTGCCACCCTTTCACCTTGGGAAAGGTTAAGGGAAAGGTTGTTAAGAACCTTGCTTGGGAGACTTCCTTTTCGCTGAGTCAGCTGCCCACACCAACACAGGCTCCACTTGTCCCCACAACTCATTTCCTGAGATTGCACAACGTCTCCAACTGCCACTGTTCACCCAGGGAGCGAGGTTTTCCAACATGCTTAAGCTGTAAAGATGACTGTTTAACCAAGCATAACATGTTCTGGATTTGTGGAGAGAATCTGAATCTCCGGTGTCAAATCCAGGTAAAGCCTTGGGTTGTTGTGTTAGTGCTGCTCCCAAAAGTACACACAACCACAATCCAGTTTTCCCCACAGACCCTCATGTTCAGGTCTGCAAGCCAGGATGACTTTTTCTGAGAAGCTTTTGTTTGATAAATATTTGGGACACTTTGGCTTTAAACCAGCCTAAAAAACAAAGAGTGTGTTTTACACCAATGTGTGCAGAAGGACAAGGGTTGGGGGATTTAATCTCTTTTGTGTGTCAGAACTTTGTGTGTGTGTGTGTGTGTGTGTTGTGTGTCTTTAGTCCAGAGGGAAAACCACTTAACAAATTTCTCACCTAGCAACATAAATTCTGAGCTCAGTTGCAGTTGTAAGTTGAGGACTGCCTGTCCTGTAATTTGGACTTATTTTCTGCTACAAAACACACAGAGATGCACAACCCAACAATCCCATTCTTCTCCACCGTCTTATCATCTCGTTGGTGGGTCAGTTGGGTTGGTTTTGTTTTAATCTTCTCTGTCAAAAGAATCCCGCAGACGGAGAGCGTTCACAAAGCCAAGCTGGCATCCTTATCTCATCTCCCTTAGAGGGCATACGAGAGGATGGGGGGGGGGCTCCAAAAGACATTTTCGAGGGGAGGGGAGACTCTTGCTTCAAGGGCAGAGTTTTATCTGGAAAGCAACGGTTATTCCTTCTCACTATACACACGAAGTGCTCATTATCTCACTGCGGGAAGGTTGTATTGTCAGAAATTTAACTTTTTCTATTAATTCCCTGCTGAACCTAGCCAGCCACAGATTCCAATTCTCTGCAGTAAATGTGGTTTGGTGTTCCCACCCTGCTGTTGCTCTGGTTGATTGGATTTAAGTTCATTACATTTTGATACAGTCCTATCTATCTATCTATCTATCTATCTATCTATCTATCTATCTATCTATCTATCTATCTATCTTTCTATCTATTTATCTATCTATCTACCTACCTACCTACCTATCTATCTACATCTTTATCTCTCTGTCTGTCTATCCATCTGTCTCTATCTCTCTGTCTCTGTCTCTGTTTTTTTTTTTTCTCTCTTTCTATATCAGATACATATTGTACAGTATTCATCTGGACAGTTGGGTTTTATATTCATTGCATTTTTATATATTCATATTCATTCATATAAATAAATAAAAACAAACATACATACATCTTGTTGGTTGGGCTTAGGTTCATTATAATTTCATACATTCATCTCTCTCTGTCTCTCTTATTTATCTAATCTACCTAATCTATCTATCTATCTATCTATCTATCTATCTATCTATCTATCTATCTATCTATCTATCTCACCCTCACACACATTGTTATTAACTGGTTGATAGGGCTTATGTTCATTGTGTTCATTCAGATTATTCAATCCAATGAACAAGGACATACATCCAATTTTGCAGCTACTCAGATTGTTGGATGAGCAGGTACAAAAACAGCCAGGGAAATGAGGGAAGCCCAGGAAATGGGCTGCTGGTCAGTCAACAGGGATGCTGATTTATCACCAGCTTATCAACTACTTAGGAGCCAAAGACATGGCAGCACAAGGAAACAACAGCCAAGGACTTAATAGCCAACTACCAACACCCCTATCAACAACTAAAAGCCACATACAACAGGCACCCTATAAATACCACACACAGAATAGCCCAAAACACACATTCTGCTGGAGAGAAGTTCCCTGAGGATGGGCTTCAGCACGAAAGCTCAGAAACTAAATCTCTGGTTCAGGTGACCGACCCAGATTGGATCCTGCAACGTTATCCTGGGACGCGTAGAGTTGCCTTCCTTCGTTAGAATATTCATGTTCTAGGATGCCCCAAAATCTGCTGTGAAAACTCCCAGCAACAGCCTGAACACGGTGGGGAGATCCTAAAGCTGCTTTGCAATGGCCCGACCCACTTTGACTGTACTAAGAACAGAAGCGACAACCCAGAGCTGAAACTGACACAAGCGACAAACTCTGCAATTGTGGCAAATTTATTTTAAGGCCAATCGGCCCACCACTAATAAAAATAGGAGTGTTATGTAAACTACCTGGGTCTACTATGGACTCCAATCATCTCACGAATAGAAGAAGGAAGAGGAGGGGCGACTTATTTTCCAAAGCACCAGAAGGCAGGGCAAGAAATAAGGGATGGAAACTAATCAAGGAGAGAAGCAACCTGGAATTCAGCAGGAACTTCCTGACAATGAGAACAATTAACCAGTGCAATGACTTGCCTCCAGAAGTTGTGGGTACTCCATTGTTGGAGGTATTTAAGAAGAGACTGGACAGCCATTTGTCCGAAATGGTATAGGGTCCCCTGCTTAAGCAGGGAGTTGGACTAGAAGACCTCCAGGGTTCCTTCCAACTCTTGTTATTGTTACTGAATGAAAGGACGTTCTTATTTTCTATTGAGAATTGCATGAAATTCCAAAAGACGGCATGAAATCAGCCAAGAACTGCACAAAATTACAGTCAATGTCCCTTGGCCCCTGAACCTAAAAAATGTCCATCTTTGTGGTCAGAAACGCCTTCATGAAGAAGACAAAATGCTATTGATTTCCATGGACCTGGTTGTCCTCAGATATCTTCCACAATGGTTTCCTCCGAACACCTGAGCAACTGTAAATTGGCTGTGTGATCATTTGCTATTATCCTGCTTTTAGCTTGACTGTCAAACAAAATCTTTCATTTCTCTCATTTTTTCCACCACTGGATGTTTGCAATTCCAGGAACCTTTTGAAAAAGAAAAAAAAAGCCTTGGAAAAAATTAGGCAGGATGAAAACACAACACACACGCGCGCGCGCGCGCACACACACACACACGCTCCCACCCATACACAAAACATGGAAGATTATTTATGCGTCAAGTGTCAGCAAATATTGTTGCCTTCTTCTTGGTTGATAAATACGTTCATTATGCAGATGGCGTTCACAAAATACTTGGCATGTCACTGCAGGAATTTAATCACCACCTGTAAAATATATGTCTACTTCTGGATGTT